CCAAAGGTGAGATGGCAAAGCTTGACTGTGCTGGGGGCAGCGGGGTGTTTGTTCTAGGGTGGGGTTTGGACAAGCTGCTTTTTGGCTGAATGGCCAGAGTGGATCTAACAACCTTAATCCGAGGCCATTTGTTTGTCCATTTGTTTATCTGCATCTCGGTTTCATCAGAAGGAGATGCGTTATATATTTTTTTTAATCTACATTAATGAATATTTCTATTGTGATCTTTCTGACCAAAAGTGATGCTGAACAGCCAGCCATAAACCAGTTCTAATATAAAATCTAAATCATCTAAATAAAGATAACCAAAGCAGAATTTGCATTAAGAATCTAACTGCAGGAGTGCTGTGAGCTCTCTGCTCCAAACTCTGGCTTAAGTGGTCTCTGCAATTGTCACCCATTCCCAAAGGGGTTAGACAGACCCTACTCCGTGCAAGAGTCTATCCCAAAATGTGATGTGCTTCTGTTCCAAGGCTATGCACAAAGAGGGAGAAAATTAATGTTTTTACAAGTAATGCCAGAGAGAACTTGATTTCTGTGTTGGGGAAGAGGCGAGAAGACTGTAAAACACAGATGTGTTGTTATGGTTAAACTTGCCAATTGTTTTGGTTTTTTTTCATTAAATTTGTTCACAAAATCTTGTAAAAACACAAAGCGTGGACATTCTGCGAGGAAAATGTTTTAAGTAGAGTAAGTTCTCACAGATAATGTTATTTGACTGGATTAGTTGTACTGGACCTGCTGCTGCTTTAGCTCCTAAGCATGGATTTTCAAACTTCTTCAGGGAGTGATAATGATGTATTGAGATTGTAAAGGACAATACAAGTTTACTGGAGGAAAAAAAAAAAAAAAGCTTCCTAGGTAGATACTGAAATGTAATGCATGAGCAGAAAAGATAAATGACTGAAATATACCAAAAGTCCTGCTGTATGTTCTTCACATGCTGTATGGTTTTACACATCTGAATTTAGTTGTGTATTTTTTGAAATTACACTGGACAGTTGCTCTGCTCAAGGCTCGGTTCTGTTGTCTGGTGTCATGTAGGTCCCTTCCAGGCCATTATTTGACCTGTCTTTGTGGGATGAGAGCCTGTCGTCTGACTGCTGGTCACTTCTCAGTGGCACCCTGTTAAAGGGGTCTCATTTGTGCCATCTAGTATTTTCCAGGGACTCCTGTATTTGAGATGGTTATGAAAAATCATGTTTTTCTGGCATTTTTGGAATACCATTCAGGTGGCTGCCTCCTTGCTTTGAAAGAGGTGGAAGAAGTGATGGTGTCCGAGGAAAGTCAGTCCGCTGACAACTTAGCTGCAACAGTCATTTCGGAAGATCCTCACACTGTTTTGGTAGAGTTTTCTTCCGTGGTGGCAGACACTCAGGAATACATCATTGAGGTAAGAACCGGGACAAGCGGCCTTCTCGTTCCGGAGTTAGCACGGTATGTTCATCAGTAAATACTGCAGTGGTGCATGTTCCTCATCTCGCCTGCTGGGAGAAGGTAAAATAGGATCCAGCCAGTGCCAGCTCTGCCTGCACGATCCCAGGAATGAGTGGCGTTAATCTTGTTCAGAAGGAGAGCACCAGGAGCCTCCTTCACCACCCTGCTGAGGTGCTGCCTGTGACACAGGCAGGGAAGTGAGAATGCAGGGCAGACTGACAGTAGGTCATCAGAAGGCTGAGACTGAGAACTTCCGACTATACCAGATCTTACGTCCTCACAAACTTGCTTCAGCTTTCCCTCAGTTTTTACCTCTCTCTTCTCCTGTTTCTATTTAGTTTATTTTGTCCAAAATCATCTCTGTTGGTTTTAACTGGCTGTGGCCAAAAGCAGTGAAATGACACATTTCGCTTTCTCCCCCTTTGTGACAGAGCCAGTACTCATCCCTGCAGAATAACACCGCTCATTTCTTGAGTCCCTCTAGTGCTGCCATAGTTTTTCTCCAATAGGAAAAAAATCTGCCAACTGGCTGAGTCCTTCTGAGAGAGGATGTTCCATTTCAGTTATTTGTGAGCACTTTGAGTTACTTTTAAGTAGCTCTTGCTAATGGGATTTGGAGGGAATTTCAAGGAGTTGTCTTTAGAGTAGCTACGGCATCACGGGGGGAACAGGAAGGCTTTTGTAAAAGATCTTAGTGTCTTATATCTTGGTAATAAAAGATTTTTTTGTAATAATCTAAAGAGAGAAACATCGTATTTTCTCTTTCAAGACTGCTACGGAAGACATGGAGACCAGCGAAGCTACTGAAATAATAGAGGGAACAAGACACGAGGTAAAGCAGCCACATCAACTGTTATTTTGGCGACTTGCTGTAGAAGAAATGAATCTCTTCTAGTGTCTGAAAGTCATGCTAAATAAACCCAACTTCAGATAATTAATTTAGCTACCTCTGTGGTTTTGCAGACCTGTCTGTATAAAAACATAATACTGGTCATACTGGGTTTGACTGAGCTGTGTTAATCCCAGGAGCTCCCAGTGATGGTGGCTCGTGACTTGCATGGCTTCATACACAAGAGCACAGCTACCAGCTGAGTAGAATTGTACAATAACCCTTCAGCCTTGGGGAAATGATCCTCTGAAGGCATCCTGAATGCTAGCAATAACGGTTGCTGGCGAGGCTCTTGGATTGCATTCAATCAGTTCAGATGCCTGGGCGTGCATTGTTAAGGTTTTTCTATAAACAGTAGTTTGACTTTCTGTGGGAAGCACCCTCCTGGCGAAACATCTTCAGCGACACGAGGCGAGACGTTCTAGGAGTCTGCTGTTCTCTAGGTGATGAGAACTGCAGTGAAGAGCTGGAGGAAACAGGAGTTAACTGCTGCTGCTTGTACTCGGGGCTGGTCACCCAGCACTGTTCGTGATGATAACTGTACTTGTAACAGAGTACAGCACACCGTAAAATGACACAGCCTCTTTTCTCTCCATGCAGGTTGACAGCCACATTATGAAGGTTGTGCAACAAATAGTAAATCAAGCAAACTCTGGTCACCAGATCATCGTACAGAACGTCACCGTGGCAGAGAACTCAGAGGTAACCACAGACGCTGCAGACACCATCACCATCGCGACCCCCGAGAGCCTGACGGAGCAGGTCGCCATGACACTGGCTTCCGCCATCGGAGAAGGAGCAGTGCTGACTACGGAGGGTAGCATCGAGACGGAAGAAGCAACGGTGACAATGGTGGCATCCGAGGACATTGAAATAATGGAACATACAGGAGAGTTTGTGATCGCTGCCCAGGAGGGGGAGGTGGAAGTCCAGACTGTGATTGTGTGAGGAACAGCATGCAGCAGATGTTAAAGTAAAACTTACTATTTTTCTCCAGTTTGGGGAATTTGATCAGTCCTAAGTTTGCCATTATAATTGTTCGGAGAGCAAGGGAGAGAATGCTTCTATAGGCAAGTGGCTTACCAGGATGTGCAGCCCAAAAATGTTTTCTGTTTAAAATGGAAATAACACTAAAAATCTCTGCACGGTTACACCGGGGCAGTGACTGACGGGCCCCCTTTGACAGTCTCAGTGTGGTGTACAGCTGCCTCCCATCCAGGGAGTCCTTTCAAAGCATTGGCCTCTGACCAGAGGACAGGAGTGTTCTGGTGTTTAGATTTAAAAGGATTCAGAAGGTGAAGCAAGTATGTAGGGTCTCGTAAGAGACTATTAATCATATGCATTTAAAGTGAACCAAGAAAACCAAACCTAAGGAGTTGTGGTGTGCACTCACCACCTCTCGGAAACTTTCATGCCTTTAACCTCACTTCTTTAGTCCTCCTAAGGCACGGTACTGCAGTATTTTTCTTTTCTTTTCTATCCTGGACAAGTAGCCTTATGTACTGGTCTATGAACGAATGCATCGTTGTACCCTTGCAGTGCCAGACAGGCTACTCTGAGAGCTAGTCTGTTGGTGTGTAAAGCCATATTGTATATGATTTTTTTTTTAAACCATATATGGATTTTTAATTGCATATTGTACAGATGCAGCATGTAAATAAATACATTTTTAAAAAATAAAGTTATTTAAAGTTCCTACTATATTTTTCCAATTTCTGCTCTGTTATCACTCAAACAGAAGAATTTCTGGAAAGAGAAGAGAACAGGGCCACTTAACATTGTGCTTAAGAAACCCCTATTGCTGGGTTTGGGAAAAACACAGTTTTTCCCAAAACAAGCACAAGCCTCCAGAAGCAGCCAGTACATCTACCCTTTGTAATCTTTCAGGTGCTCCTTAGTTAGAGGGAGTTCGGGTCACTTGCACAGCTGTAAGTCTACCTTTGTCTTCTGCTGGTAAGGCAGAGGGTTTTCTTGAGGGACAGAGATGAACTGCCTTTCAGTGTTCACCTACAGAATCCCTGTACACAAGTGGAAGACCATGTCGCTGCAGTGCGTTTGAAATGCCCTGTTCCGTGGCTGCAGGGGGAGAGCCCTAGAACCAGCAGCGTATCTTAAATAGTGCTCTGCTGAGGCATCGTTAATCACCATACCCCTGAGAATAATAACTCACAGCTGAATACAGTCAGCAGGGAAAAAAAAAAGGATATAGTTGACAAATACATGCAATCAGAAGTTTACCACTTCCACATGTGTGACACTGCTATATTCCTGTAAAGTCTGCAGGAAGACCTACTTCAGGTGTACCAAAGTAACTTAGGAACCCCGTTTACCCGTTATACGGTGGTATAATGTAGCACACAAGCAGCAATAATAAAAAGTTCCTTGTGTATGTGTTCCCTAGCTGAACCTGTCTCTAGTACAGCTTGCTTCAATACTGCAATTGTGTCTGGAAAGACAAACAGGCCACTCACAGCTGGTACAAGCAGTGTTACAGATAAATTCGGGAGAACTCCAGTGTTTTGAAGACTGGTTGGCTTTATGAAAAGATAGTTTCCGATTACTTAACCAAAATACAGTAATCAGTTTACAAAAGTTGTTTGGGGCATCGCGGTGCACTGCTGAAATGAAGTCCTACAAAAAGGTTAAAAATGCACATATATAAAGAATAATATCTTCATGTTTTCTTCTTTCTTTCCAACACTGTAAGAGGTTTAAAGATTTCCTTTAAATTCATCCAGACTCCTTTACAATAAATGTTTTTGTAGACAACTTGTCTGTCATGAGGCTGCACTGTCAGATGGCGGGAACACCCGTATCTTCTGGATTTACACCATTCATTGGAAGTTTGGTTGGTTAAGGCCAAGTAGAGATTGAAGCAGCAGTATGTACCCAGGATGAGCGTGAGAAGAATAACAAAACCAAGCATGAAGACAATCCTAGGAAAAGTCAAGAAAAGGTGCTGCAAAGAAAGAAAATAATAACTTAGTTAAAAAGTTGGAGCATTAAATCACATGGAGGCATGTGACCACCACAGCACGCCAGCTGAAGTGCACAGCCACACGCACACGTAACTGTGCAGCCTGTGCTCCGTCCAGGCCACTGATGGCCATTCCTGACTGAATCTTTGAGTAAAGCATAATGATTTCCAGGAATTTATTTCCTCGCAAGCCTTGCTAATATGCGAGAGTATTTTCTACACCCACATGTTTGTATTTCATACTGGAGTTTTGCTTGTTTGTTTTCTGTTGTTTTTTTAATTAAAAAAATCATTAATGCAGATAATCTGAAAACAAACTGCCAAATGAAGAGGCTACAATCTGGTGCAACTTCAGGTTCTGCTGACATGATATAGTTTCAGCAGCTCTTTTCTGAGTTGGAATTCCAATACTGGGGAGTGGTAACAGTACTGCTCAAACATGAGCAAACATTCCCCTACCAAGGTCCCTTTAAAAGAGTCCAAGGCTGAAACATCTGTTGTCTAGGATGAGGAAAAGATAAAGCATTTACTACTTATCACCTCACTGCCATACAGAAAGGAACGAGGAGACTGAAATACAAATGGCTGAAGTGCTAGAGAGACTCAAAGTCACCCTTCGCTGGTATGTGAGAGAAAATATTCAAGTATCTAAATTCCAGGTAGCAGGGTCCTGCTTTAACATCCCCACGAAGGCATCTCAAGGATTGTCAGCTGTTTCCTAAAAGTTACTGCAGTAGGTGGTCACTGGAATGTAAAGTCATTCTTTATGAACCAGATCTGCTGAGTGAAAGCAGCCTGGAGACAGAAATTCAAAGAATGGAGAGCAGAATGAAGGGCTGTGAAAAAAATCCCACATTTCTGAAGTATTCTGCAGTGGCATTTTTATAAACTTCATTAGCTGGGTGAAGTTGGTAACACACCTGCAGCCTGTCCACATCCTGACACGATTCCTGAAAGCAAAGACCCAGATAAACCTTGTTATAAGTTAATAACCCAGACAGCGCAAACTTACCTGAATAAGGAAGAGAATCTCAACAGCGTGCTCTTGTCCTTGGTCATCAATGTAACTCCCCTGCATCATATTTGTCAGCAGCACGACTCGGGTGAGAAACGCTGCTGTGATGGCTGCGATGGTGGCAGCCATGGCAGTCAGGGTGCAGAGGTAGAGGAAGAAATACTTGGCATTGAAGGCACCAATGCAGTTGTTGACCCACACACAGTGGTGATCAAAGCGATGCACACACATATTGCAGAAACCTGATGAGGAGGGAGCGACAAGACAGTTCAGTTATTTGTTTTTTAAGTAATCATTTTGATTTTTACACAGTTTAGGATAGTTTGTAATCTGAAAAAATCTGAGAATTACGGTCATGATTTAGCTGGCAGTTCTTTAAGCAAATACAGTAATTTCAATTGCATATTGTAACACCCCACCCCAATACTAAAAGCAAAGACATGTATCTCATTTCCTCTTTTATTCATGAACCAAGACTCCAGCTCAAAGACTTTGGTTTCTCTCACAGCAAAGCATAAGATAGAGGTTGTAGCTCCCAGCTTTATTTTAGATGATATCAGCAACCTCTGCAAGAGAAACACAAAATCCTGAACTCAGGCCTTGGCAGGTGATGATTTTTAGTTTAACTTCTAGATGCCTGTTCCTGACCCAAAATCATACACCCTCAGAACTAGTAATTTCTGTGAGAAGAAACAGCAGCAAAACAGTTCCATGGATGGGCAAAGGCAGCTGTCATCTGGGACCCCAGTGAAAAGAACATAATCCTGTGAGCATCGAGCTGGATAACAGAACAGATGTACTGTGAACTGCAGTTACTGATGGAGAATTAATTGGGGAAAGTATTACTGCTATGCTTATCGAGGAAATTGAGATTCTTACTGCAATGCTTTGACCTGGCTGGCTTCTCCATGTTGCAGGTAGGACACACGACGCCTTTCTGAAATAATACACCATCATATGCATAAATCTTAACCAATGATGCATGATTTGATTTTGTTATTATACCTGTGAAAGAAACAAGAAAAACAGTAGAAGTAACGGTGTTTTTAACATTTTTTGGTTCTGTTTTCAAACAGCTACAGCTCACAATCAGCAGGAGCTTACCAGGATCAGCCCGGGAGCAGAGAACGAAGCAGCCCATGTTCCCAGCCAGCAGCAGGTAGGGCAGCAGCAGGAGGAGGAGGTGGAACTGCAGCTCCCAGCAGTAAACAAACACTTCCCACGTGTACTCCCCATACACTGCAGCTTGCAAGGCTATGTGCAGGCCAACAAACAAACAGCTCCTGTAACAGAAAGGGGACAGTCTATTTAATACCCAGAATCCTGATTAACAGGTCAAGTACAATCAGAGGTGATCGGCAGACTTTCCAAACGCAAGGAGACACCTCTTTTAGGTTTTCAGGCCAGATGGATTGCATATTAATAGTGTTTTCTCCACCCAATGGCTTCTCCTTCTTTTCTTCCCACACATGCTCCTTTAAATATACCAGCTAAATTAACTTCCGTTATTCTCATGCCCTTTGGATTTTTCTCCCATCAGTAAAGTACAAAGCCTCATAATCCCTTGGTGCTGACAAAACGTGCCACAGCAGTAGACGACATTCTGCCAGAAGACATCTGCTGTGTGCTGCTCCGGAAGCAAAGAAAACCCCAGTGACAGGTAATCTTAAAAAAAAAAAAAAGTAATAATTTAAGCAGCTGTTACAAGGGAAGCATGGCAGAAGGTTAGCAATCACAAACACCAGTTCTGACCTGTCGGCAGACCTACAGCTTCTGTGAGGCAAGTGCCACAACCGTTCGGCGCGCAGGTTTGTTTGGGATGCATCATACTGACCAACAGCTTTCAGCAGCCTGGCAAACAGATGCTCAGAAAAGCCAGGCATTAGGAGAGCAATGTCCATTTACTACAGTCCTCTGCATTACACATCAGTTTGCTGGGCTTTTGTTACCAGTTTTAAATAACTAGTGATGTGTATGTTACTACAGCAGGAAGTCCACTGCAGACAAGCTCTCCTCTGCTGCTCTGTCCTATGCCATTCCTCTGCACAATCCATCAGGATCCTGGGGAGTCTCCTCTCAGCTGCAGGGCTCCAAGAAGATACCCTCAAGTGCTGCATGTCCCTGGACTTCTGCAGGAACTGAAAAATCTCTCGCTTGAATGAGGTGACACAGTCGAAGGGTGTGCATGGAGGATGAAAGCGCCTCCAGCCCAGTGTAATCCAGCAATGACAGCTACACCAGGCTCATCAGATAATTGCTGTGCTGCTGACTACACGTTTGACAATATAACCCCTCTCTCTCTTGGGCTGTGCCAACAGCAGAGAACCTGCACAGCACACAACAAAACTGCAGCACACAGTCAACAGCTGCAGATGTGATGGCCCTGAAGTGTCTGTCACACCAGAGCTGCTGCCCCCAGAGGAAAGGGGTTTAAGTCGTTCCTGAAGCAGATCCTGAAGCACCACAGTTCACAAGACACCACAAAATTCACCTTAATAGAACAGGCTGCACACTGGCAGCTGCACAGCTTCCCCTACAGCAACCTGGACATCCAAGCTGCTGGACGAGGACTAATAGGATTTGAGGGAGAGGATGGGGATTGCCAGCTCTGTCTAAACTCGATCTGCAGCTGCCAGAAAGTCTGGTGTAATTCTCTCGTGAGCGCAGTCTCCCACCCGTGTGACCAACATCTGTTCCACTGGAAGCTGCTGAGCCACATTATCTTTGTTTGTCAATATGTTCACATATTTCAGGGTACCATCTTCTCAACAATAAACAAGGAACAGAAAGACAACAGTGTGGCAAACCTTCAAGGGAATCTGTAATCCCCGACAAGCACCCTTAATGAAGGGAGAATATCTGAGGATAACACTTAAAGCTCTGCTGGCAGCAGGGGGTCACCAAGAGTGGCCAGAAATACTGGTAAAAAATAATGTCAAAAGCAAAAACCAAAAGTGCAATACCTTGTGTGGAAGAGCCTGTCAAGCTCCCTTTGTGTCACGCTCTGGAGCTGTGTGGGGACTACAAATGACAACACCTGAAGCAAATGAAAACACTCTGTTAGGTGAACTGCACATTGCTTCTGCCTTGTGGAACATTCAAACAAAAACACACATCACCTCAGTTACAGATCACTGTGGCTGTATCACTGGGGAGGAAGCTCATTTTCAGGGGCATTTGAGCTCCTAAGAATACAGGCAGGCATGTTGCTGAGGTTTTCAAAATGGAGGTGAGGATCCATATTCTCGGTAGCCCAGTAGGCACAAACAAATGTATCTGGGTTAATGTGTGAAAGTTCTAAGGAGCTTATATCGGGTTATAGACTGGGTAACTGGTTAAGCAGGGGATAGAACTGAGCAATTTCTGAGCTACAATATGCTTCACCAGGACATCTGACAGATGCAAGCAGAGATAAGCAAAGGGATAAAGCCTGCTATCCTCCAGAAAAAGGAAAAAAAAAAAAAACAAACCAAACCAACCAAAAACCAACCAAATTCCACCAAAACCACCCCCAACTTAGTTTCTTCAACTACAGCTACGATCCAGTCTGATAACTCCATGTCTACCTAATTCCCGTTTCAAAAACAGCTAGACACCATGGAGAAGAAAACTGCCTGCCCCCAGCTCTCAGCAACAGTCTGCGATGGCGGAATTGTTTGACTCTGCTGTTCAGAAAACGCCAGATCTCTATAGCAACATGCTGCTCCATCCGTGGTGCACGAACTAGAGCAGCTGAGCCTATTTCTAGCTGATATGGAAAGAAAATATGCAGCGAGAGCTTCTTGTCTCAGATGTGAAAGACCAGAAGGCAAAAAGCATATGGAGAGTTGTGAAGATGTTAAATATTTTTCTTTTAACTGGTCTGCCTCGTATCAGCAGCTCAAGCGACAAGTTTGTTTTTTTTTTAAAGAGGCTGCAAACTGCAACAGGAAACACAAGAATAGACAGTAAAGCAATCTGCATGCAACTGCAAAATTCAAATTTAAACTACCTGTGTGTTAGTACAGTCTAACATGACACGCACAACCGACCCACTGGCAGCAAGGAAAACAGGCTGGGGGGTGGGAGCGGACTTGCCACAGAGCTGGAAACAGCTGTGCTGTCTGCAAGTTAATTATTTCGTATCGCTCACAATGAATACTTTAAAGGATCTTACAGGAGTGCAATCAAACAATTTCAACCAACTTCCAGGCTTATAAGCTTCATTAATTACAGTCAGAAGTGGATGTAAAATACAGTGTCTAGAGAAACTGTTCAGGATTACCTACACTTATTTCATGCTACAATTACAATTCTCCAGAGAGTGACTTTACATCAGAGCAGTATTTTAATTGCTGATTCTTACACACGTTTCATAGAAGCAGCTATTAAGAAATGTGGAAAAATAATAATTTCTCTGCACAATGATCTGCGTGTCTATAAATCAAAATCAAATCAAAGTATAACACTAGTAGCAAAAATAAAAGTCTGTTTAGAATCCTGTAAACAGCATTAAATATTATTTACAATTTAAATAATTCTCATATCCTTTTGCTTCCAAGAATGCTACACCTTTTTTTTTTTTATACCTTCTTCATTTAGACACAGCCCAACAGACAGAAAAATAAGCTGGTGCCTTTCCAATTCATTCCCTGTTTTTACAATAAAATGCCAACTCTTAATCCTCTTTTAAAGCTCTTCATTCCTCCCCCTTTCTTAGGCAACAACAGCCCGCAGCCTTATTACAGACTCACATTAAATGAGCTTCCCCGAAAATATTTGCTACCAGTTATAATTCTCTCCCTGTTTTAATCCTCAAACTTCCCCCACCTTTTTCCTCATAATGACAGCAGCAAACACCATAAAACTGCAAACACTTGGGGCCTTGGTGCCATAAATACTTGGGGCCTTGTTGCTATTTAATTTCTCAGAGCTGATGTGTTTATGGGTGTCACCAAAAATCGTACTTCCAGCATCACGAGAAGCTCCATCCTTACCCCTGCCCTGTGGTGGCTGCAGCCAGCCAGCCCGGCACACGCAGAAGCAGGAGCTGTGAAACACAAATGGTTTGTTACAGCCTGCTTGTGCAGGATTTCGTCAGCTGAAAAGAAGCGTGTTTCTATTTCCAGCCCCAATTAGCACTTATTGGAGAGCAGTTGTCAGAACAGGAGGATACATGAGCTATACCACATCCCCACAGACATTTTTTATGGGGGTGAAACACCCTCGTTCCAGCAGGGCGGAGCGGGGCTGAGCACCACCACGGCGCTGGCCACCGCCCGAAAGGCCAGCTCTTTACCTGCACGCTGCCACTTCTCACAAGGAAACTCTCCTTCCTTCCCGAGCAGATGCAGAGCAGAGCCACAGCAGTGACCACAAACCCCAAATAAATCGAGAAGAGAAAAAAGGAAGTCCATCCCGAGCCCTGAAACCAACAGAACCACCTGTTAGCGCCTGGGCCTCGCATGGTGCGTGGCTGAAACACGGGGACGGGGCAGCCCTGGGCCCACCCAGCACACCCAGACCCCCCGGGCCCAGCCGGCGCACCCAGACCCCCCC